TCATCCACTACCTCCTAAGTGTATGATTTCAGTTTACGGGTCACCTGCCCCTGGTACTGAAGCTATGCTACACTATGCTATACCAATTGAAGGTGTAGTCCATCCAGTAACAATCTTCATCCACAGATCATTAAGAACTACTACTACTACTGTTACTACACCATCAGGTATTTACTATTATAATAACTGTTCCATTATGTATAATATCTATTAGTTGATACATCAGATACTACTACTAGTAATAATAGACCAACTGAAGCTACAGCTAGTACAACAGGAACAGGTATTATAACTACATGTATATTGATCAGTTGTGAACTGATATTGTGTGTAGGTACTGTTGATCTTGATATTGTTAAAGGAAAGGTTCAAAGTGTCTTAATGAAGAATCAAGTTGCTTTAAAGAGAGCTTTCAGTCTATCATTAGGTGATATATCAGATGAACTCCTTCAAGTTGGTATCATATCAAAATCAGTTCAAGAATCACCATCTTATGATGACATCATTGGGTCTTTCCTAGCTGGCCTTACTTTCATACGCAGGCAGTCTGAGCTTAATAAAGAATGTGACACTTTTCTAACAGCATTATCTAATGTTGGGGGACCAGTAGCTCGTGCTGCTGGTATGTTAAGGGAAGATTGGGAACAAGCAATGAACATGTAACTTTATTATTATCACACATGCACCTAATTAATATACATGATGTATACATGTATAATTATTTGTATACTTATGGATGTATACCTTTTATTTTGATTTATTAATTAATGTACATAACTACATGTATGTGGGCAGGGGTGTATCTGAGGGGGGCCTACAGGGGCCTGGGCTCCCCCCATCAATTGTTGTAGATAATAATATTCGTTGTTTGTTTTATTACCTACCACCTAGTAATATAAATTAACCACCTTGTAATCATGTACAATACATTGCACAGCAGTAAATGTACAAGAAATGAAAAGTAGGCAGAAACAAAACACTCATTTTATATTAATCATTGTTGAAAATGTAAGATTTTGATGCTTTAAAATACGCAAAATGCTATTTTAGTGCACTATACGAGCGCTAAAAAGGGGTGTGGCCAAATTTTCGGCGCGCTATTTATTCCTAGGCTCCCTCATCATTTCCTTCCAGCTACGCCCCTGTATATGGGCCCTGCTCCTGTCTGGTTCCATTAGTGAATAGAGTTGAGAATATGAGACTGGCTAGTAATAGTAGGGGAAAGGGTAGCCTGTAGGTTAGGATCATAGTCATCACTGGTTCTTTACAACAGAGAGAAGGTTTGAAATTGGTAAATGATTAAATATGTGTTTATTTTAAAGAGATAGAAAGAGCTAATCCCTCCTTTTTCCAGTAACACTTTTTCATTACACCCACGTGTCACCTAAGTTAACTAATTGATAAAGGGCGTGGTCACTGGATACGTGACAAGTGACAACAAGTCAACAAGCTGAACAAACAACACAACAACAACAATTAATGGCTTCTTCTTTTAAAGGTTTGTATTCTCTCTCCCTTCCTTCCCTGTCTCCTCTTTCTCTTTCTTTCTCTCATTATTATTTCTTGTTACAGGTATTGGTGAGATACTTAATCATTCAGCTCCTGTAGTAGGAGAATCTCTGTTTGTATGGGGAGGGTCCAGGCCTGGCTATCCTGCAGTACATGAATCTCCTCGAAAGATGAAGCTGTACTCCACCATTGACAGACTGGACTTTAGGACTGGTCGTTGGTCCTCTCACGTGACCATAGGAACGTCACCTCTAGGACCTGAAGGATACTTCTGTACCGTCAGAAACAATGACATCTTTTATATGGGCGGCTACTGTGGACATGATGACTGCTATCATAATGATGTCAACTTATTTAATACTTCAACTTATGAATGGAATAAGTTAATATCAAGTAGTGATATCGTAATGAAGAGAGGGTTTGGTGGTATGGTGTGTATGGAGTCTATGGGTACAGAATACCTCCTAGTAATAGGAGGACATGGCTCTACACCCACTACATACCAATCACAGTATCAATATGATCAGATGGTTAATGGCTGGGTTCGTACTAATGAACATAATTTATTGAATTTATCAACAAGTAAGATCCAGCTCTAGATCATAATACATTCCATTAACTACTTGTGTAATATAAAGTATTTTAATGTGTTTCTCTATTTCTACTAGTCTATGCTACAATATGATAATCTTTCTCTTTTAGGACAGTGGATTATTCCAACTATTAGTGGACAGTGTTGTCCTCCTACTTCAGTTTTTACTCTTACAAAGATCAGTAATAATAAATCTGTCTTGTTTGGTGGATCAGTGACTGATGATGAAGGATATGATGTATGTGTTAATAATGTCTATACATGTCAACTTGAATCTGATACTACAATCGTAAGTTAATGTATAGTTGCAGCAAAGCTCAAAGGCCTAACAGTTGTGATAAAACCCACAGAACACTCCCACCAATACCGCAGTGTGATATTATAAATAGCACACTCATTTATTTAATGTGCAGCAGTGTGATATCAGTGATAGCAGAGCACGTGCAATCTTTGCTGGAACTATACACTAAAACAATTAATACATGTGGTGTCGTGTGCTATCTGATTTATCCGCACTCGCTTCCGGTCTCGTTGCTAAAAATAGCGCACTTGGCCTTTGGCCTCATGCACTATTTTTAGCAACTCGACCGGAAGCTCATGCGGATAAATCAGATAGAACACGCCACCCCATGTATTAACTATTACTTACTGTAATAATTAATGAATTAGTATATATACATACAATATACTGAACAAGATGATTAAGTTTTATTGGTGAGGAATTAATATTAGTGATTGACTGTTTGTGAAGAATTGTCAATATAAAACCCACCAGTTTGTTTTAATCTGCATGAGCATGCTCCATGACAATTGGCACAAAATTGCTATATAAAATTATCCAAAGTTAATATTTCTGTTAATGTGTTTTATTATTGTATTAGTAAGTTCGAAGGTCACCATTGGTTTGTATTTTACTGCAATTTTACATACACAAATTCTATTTATTGTCCATTTGTATTTGATAATTATAGGTTTTTAATTAATGCCCTTGTTTTATGTGTTAATTATGCATATCGTCAAGAGTATATAATACCTAAAGAGAATATTGAACGGCCCTATACAAGCTGCTGCATGAAGGCGTATTTGCTCAAAGTCATAATCCGCATACTCCAGTATACTTTATCAATGAATATAATTATTGCGTAGACATTGAGTTGCTATTGTCACGAGTTGGCAAGTGCTTGGGGCACAAACTCCTGGATACTAGCAGCACTGCCTTTGTAGTTCATCTTTCCAGCCTTGTTTCAAGTTCCTTTCTTGTTGGAAGAGATTGCCAAGTTTTAAAAAGCTAAGGGCCAGATAATGATGCCACGTGGTTGATCACGTGATATGGTAAGTATACTGGAGTATGCGGATTGTGACTTTGAGCAAATACACCCTCATGCAGCAGTCTGCTATAGGGCTGTTGGATACTCTCTTTATTATATTATGTACTCTTGATATCGTAAGCAAAAAATTTTTTAGGGCTGTAAACTTCATGGATTTCGCAATTTTTTTAAGATTTGCTAAAATTACTTCTGTGAAAATCAAATTATTATGGTACAAAATGGCAGGCAGCATAAATTTGCAAAAATTAAATTATTATAATGGATTTTTAGGCAAATTAGTGAAGTTAACAACTTTTGAAAGTTTTGCACTATACGGTGCATGTACAGATACATGTATGTACATATATGATTATTTTATTGTTACTGTCTTTATCTAGCACTGGGAGAGTGTTAAGGGACCAGTAGTACCTGCTAGTGTACAGTGGCCTGTGCAGAGACGTTCTCATGCTATTACTAGTATCATCAGTGACTCACCTACACTAGTAATGATAGGTGGAGAGGGTAATGGTGATCAACTAGTAAATGATAGTTGGTTACTTGATACCAGTCAATACCAGTGGAGTAAGGTATATATTGTCAGTATGTGAGTATCAGTGTATAGTAACATGTTATATCACTTATTACTAGTCATTGTATTGTTATGTTATATCATATCAACAGATTGTTCTACCTAAACCTGTTACTGGTAGAGCAGATCATTCCTTATCATCAATAATGATGAGTCCAGACTGTGTGTGGTTGGTGGTAGTGGGTGGGGTTGGAGCAGCTGAATGGAGAGATGTAGGAAGAGGAGTAAAGAAACCATTTGGTACATTTATCACTGATCCTAATATCACAATGTTAATAGAACTAGGTAAGAACTGAACTACATTGTATTACATGTACTTAGTACCTACAAATGTAAATTATCTTATGTTCTCACCTCTTACATGTTCTACCCTTTCCTTCTTCTGACCTTTATCCACTCCTCTCTCTCTCTCTCTCTCTCTCTCAGTTCTCACTAAAGGTCAATGGACAGTAAGTGAAGTACTAGATTCTACTGATCTTACTAAAGAGGCCTATCAACACAAATATCAATCATTCCTTAAAACAAGACAATGGTGGCAAGATCGTTGTTCTATAGTCTATTCAACAGAAAAGGAAGTACAACAGCAGCAGTACATACAAGTACTGCAACACAAGTTAAGAGTATTTGAAGTAAATAAAACCTCACTGCAGGAAGCACTCCTTGAAGCTAGTCAGCAAGGTATAGTCCTCTACTGTGTGTGTGTGTGTTTATAATTTTTGTGAATAAACTTTACATTAAGAGGTGATATATCTGACACATTTAATTACTAATGACACATTATGACATGATTGTTAATTGTTGTTAATAGTGTATATGTGTATTGGTTAGGTGATGTTACTGATGATACTTACACTACGACTCCTCCTCCTCCTCCTGCTAGTGTTGATGATTCTAAACTGAAGAGTTCAATACAAGAATGGAAGAACATTACTGGTGAGGTTATACCATGAGTACATTACTGTATATCTAATGATGAGATAATATATTTCATTTTATGTAGAAGAGAATGAGAAACTTAAAGCTAATATAACAATGCTGACTGAAGAGAAATCAGAATTAGAGGAAAAGAATGAGAATTCAACTGGTAATACTCTCAGTATTGCTCCATATAGTGTATACTTTTCATTAGAAGAGATTGAGAAACTTAAAGCTAAAGTTGTTGATAGTGAAACTTATATAGCCACACTGAAAGAGGAGAAAATTTTAACTAATGGTAAAACTATCATAGTATTACTGTATGATAATATTTGTTGTTATTTTGTGTAGAAGAGAATGAGAAACTTAAAGCTAAAGTAGTTGATGATGATATGGTAATTGCTAAACTGACAAAAGAGAAAGTACAACTAAAGGAAGAGTTGCAGTCATTGAAAGGTACCACAACTGCTGGTAAGAGTATCACTATCAGTACATTAATTATTAGTAAATACATTTCTATTTTGTGTCGAAGATAATGAGAAGCAATTAAAGGAGAGAGAGCCAGTCAAAGATATTGGTATTCAGTTTGATTATATTGTTCCTTCAATGGGTAAGAGATACATGTACATAGTAATTTTAATACCATTGTTATAAGCTGTGGAGTTTGTTATCACTAGTAGACATTAATTGGCTTTATTAACCCACAAATATTTTATTGTATAAACAAAACTGATGATGTGTACTCACTCCTTCATGTATATCAGGGTTTCCCACAAAGCAGCTAAACAGCATGAGCTT